TCTTGCCACTGGACCTAGAACTACAGGTGATGGCAGTCAAGGAGGATTCGAGACACCTACCGGAGCACGTTAGACGCGCCTCCATTAGTGCAGCCTATGAGAACTCTGTTGGTGAATGGCAACGTAGGTGGACAAATTCAGACAAAGGGAGGTGGACTCACAGCTGTTTTCCAGATGTCAGGGTACGTCTTAACAGTCCACTGGCCATGGGGCATGAGGTGGCGCAGTTTCTTACTGGTCATGGAAATTTCCGAGCCAAGTTGGCGTATTTTGGAAGGCAGCCATCGCCGCTGTGTCGCTGCGGAGTAGAAGATGAAGATGTTGACCATGTTTTGTTCAGGTGCGGGAGGCATGCGGCACACAGGGCACTACTGGAATTGGCGGTGTATAGGGCAGGTTTCCTATGGCCATGCGAAGTATCAGTTCTGGTCTCCACGAGGGCTTTATATAGTGCGTTGGTCAAATTTGCAAAAACGGCGGCCTATTTTGAGACGGCTGATTAATACAGGGCGGACAAGACACTCTGCGTGCCAGAGTGCCACACCCCGCATGTGTTCTGAGCGAGTGTCAAGGCGTGAGTTGGCAGAAGCGGTTCACATGCGGGGCCGTCCTGTGGGGACACTCGTGCGTCGGGGACGCGGGCGGCGCTGACGCGAACAACAGGATCGGACAACCGGAGGCGCCGTGGTGACCGAAAGCTTAGGCGAGTAGGTCACACCTACATCGGGCCCTGTGTCTGGGGCCATGGAAGAATACAGCCACAGTATACCCCGCTTGTCGTAAGAGGCGACTAAAGGGGTGGGGTTGCGACCTACGCACCACGGGCGAGCGCCCGGGATAAAGGCCCACCAAGAGCCTGCTGAGCCAGCAAATCCTGGGAGGCTGGGCTTGCCCAGTCGAACATCCAACCGATGATGTCCTTCCTAACGGGGGAGAGATCGGTACCACGGGAAGGGGGGGAGCCCCACTGTCCCGAGTTATGCCCGGGCCAGTGCCCTCCTACTCTGGGCGCGTGCCGGTTCGCCGTCGGGCGCCCAGTGCCGGTTTGGTTTCGTGGTGGTTGTAGCGGGAGCTACCGTATGGTTCTAGCCAAAGCTGGCAGGTGAAGGTCCTCAGTGAATGGCTGTACCGTCGAGGGGGTGTGGATTCCTTTGGCGTGGCAGTTTCTCCTGGGTACTCAGCCGGTCTACCGTTGGATACAATTAGCGGAGGTTGCCTGTAACCATAAACAGGAAGTGATGGGATAGGTCACGGCCTCACCAGAGGTGGTACTAGGTGGCTCCAGACCTGTGCCGTCTGGTACGGGGCTACGGCCCCGGTGCTGGTGGTCCATAGACGACACGCTTGGGCGGGGGCGCTTGCCACCCTCGCACGAGTGAACCTCTATGGCTCGTAACTAGCGCACAGCGCTAATACACGGTCCATAGTTGTAGCTGAAAGCCATTAAACCCTGGACACTCATGTTCATTGTCAATGAGGTGCACTCTTATTTATCCGCCATCTTTAGGTTTAGTTAATATTTAGCAAATCAACTGCTTCATCGCGCCATGGTAAAAATAACATAACATTTTCTCTGTAAAAGTCTTGTTCATTTTAATCCACATTAAACCTTACATACCGTATGATTTTACGTTAATGTTTACATTTGTTTGGTTTTCCGATTAGCGTGGAGTCAATCGAATAAGCGGTTTCTTCTTCAATATCGGTGTCCGACTCTGAATTGTTCTTGGCAGGTTTTCTTTTACTACGAATTTCATAATTGATTCCAAATTCAGCCAAATACAGTAACATTAAACCGGTACTAATGTTTTGTGTTGTTTTTTTTTTCATAGATAAAAGTCAAGCTAAATTATTAATATGCACTTCAGAAGGTGTGTCGCGCTTGTGATGCGGGAGTTTGTTGCTATAAGCAACGGACTCCCGGTCACCAAGGTGACTGCTGAAGAAATTCTAAATTATATCCACTCGTTAACTGGATATACAGATATGATTCAGTGCATATATTTCGCATTGTGCGGGGTGGAGGCAACCACCAAAAAAGCGAATCAAACAGTTTGGTTATGGTTGTTGCGAAACCCAGCAACAATAAAGGTCGTACGTACATAATTGATAAATAATTGATGGCCTCATAGTGGTTAATATTGTATTAAATAATCAAGTTTGTTTCTAGCTGTTATTTCATGATGAAAATGCCAATAAAAAGTACTGGGGGGAGACTTAGGTGAGTACCCCCATTACACCTTCAAAGAGTATGGGTTACACTGGGGGAGCACGATGTGTTTTCCCCCAGTGATGAGACAATAATGGGTATCGAGGCCGTGCTGAAAGAATTCCAGCATCCTCGGTACCCAACCTGCCAACCTGCCAAAATGTACAAAAGTAGGTATTTTAGTTTGCCTTCCTTAAAACATAGAAATACATAATCTAAATAAATGTTTTTTAAATTATGTTTTTTAGTCAAAAAAACCCAGAAGAAAACCAATCAATTTAGTAGCAAGTATTTTATAATTTTAGTTAAATATTATATTGAAATTTTCAAATTAAGGTATAATTTAATATTTTTATTTTTTCTAGCTTGTCAGCCAGCAACAGGAGAAGCAATTGGCCATCACATTTCCCTCCTCTGATCCCTCCCCTTCCCACTCCTCAACACTTCCTGGGCATTCCTACTCCTCCCATATTCCTTTGCCTTCCCACTCCTCTACACTTCCTAGGGCTTCCTACTCCTCCCCTATTTCTGGGACCCTAACCTAACCTACTTTATAACTTATATATATTATACTTTTTTCTTTTCAATGCTTACTTAAGGCTTTTAAATCTAAAGTAGAAGTATACTCTACTCAGTTTAAGTTGACCCACTTGTCAGACGAAAACTGGTCGCGGCCGCGCAGGCCGGTCCGTCTTTGGAGCGCTTGTAGTGATCGTCGCTAATAGCAGCTACCTACTACGACGAGCACTGCCAATCGCCGAACACCGCTGACCAATCACAGGCCGCCGGTCGCCTACTCGGGAGGTCTGAATGTTCCGACGGCTCAGTATGCATGCGCTAAAGTGTGTCAACTTAAACTGAATAGAGTATAAGTTGATGTATGCTGAATGTTAGAAATTAAAATATTTATTTGAGATTATGTTATTTTGTGTTTAGGGAGTCATAACGACTCGGAATAAATATGAATACCTGCAATAATTGCACGTGAGTATAAAAAAGTCTGAGCTTTGTATTTCTATGACTAGATAGTAGTAGCCAGTAGGAGTATCGTTTGTATATCAAAATATTAGACTATGTGCCCAGGTATATATAAAGTTTGTTTAGATATTTATTCTAATGAATGCTTTAAGTACTTGATAGATTTTACCAAGGAATTATCAAAATTTTGTGATACGCATTATATCTCTATTATCAGATATGGTAGTGGGAGTCTTGCTCATAGATATATACAACAACTAGATAGCCGTCATTATACTCCAGTTGTGACCAATATTGAAATCGGCCGCCATTTACAAAGCAGGCAATGTTTACGTTTATTTATATACATATATATTTATCTATACATATATACTATGATAATATTATTTTGTAAACATTGCCTGCTTTGCAAATGGCGGCCGACTTCGATGACAAGAAGGAGACGGCTATCTAGTTGTTGTATATAACTATGGTCTTGCTAGACTTTTAATTGGTCCTTGATATTATTATATTATTATAAATATTATCAACTCATAATATGCGCGTTAAATATAAGCCAATCAAATGACGAATATGACACCCACCCTATTCTGCGTCGACTGAACGAAACTCAGATTGTTGTGATAACTAAATGTGATCATAACTTGTTACCTCGTCATAGATTTTACTATATAACTCAAAAGATAGTAGTCAAAATATTTTCTTCAACTACAAATAAATTGTTGATTTTTTTAAAAAAATGTTATACATTTTGTCTAAAAACAAACCAACATGAAATTTTTATTTTTATTTTTAGATAATAGTAGTGTTTCATCAATAAAATATTGCAAACTGGTAATTTAAAAAATACAGAGGTCGCTGTTAGTGTTATAAATGGTATATTGTTATCGAATAATAAAGGAACGCTTTTTAGTAGTAAATATTCTAATAGTGGGCTTTCGTGTAACATACTTACAAAATATGGTATTTTACAATCTACACTCTCATTCATGAACTCTTTTCGCATATTAAATATCGTTTTTATTGTATCAATTATGTATTATTATAGATATACTATTTGGTTGGACAAATGCAATTGCAATCGTTAATGTCTGATCGTTCATTCATTAATCCTGTTATTCTGAACAGAAAATATGAACAATTTCATATTCCCCTTAATGATATTGTTAATAGTGACAATACACCACCTTCTTCAATATTTAATGCAGGTAAATAATACTTCTACATCCATATAGTGTACCATATTTTTTAAATTGAGATTTTGATCTTTGTGTTGCATAAACAAAAAGTTTGTGAAACGTTCGATAACAACACAATTACTGAATAATTAAATACAACTTTAAAAATCCATTATATATTTTTTTTTATATCTTAGACTTATCTGCTATTAACTTATCAGTTACCACATCAGATGCATCAACATCGTCTGAAATTGAAATGAGTAATACAGGTTTTTAAATAATTAAATATCTGTCTGAAAATATTCCACGGAAACTTAAAATTAATGAAAAGCTTGCGGAAGAAATTCAATTGAGAAAAGAATCAAAAGACAGAAAAGGATTTGTTACATAAATTGTACACTTTAAGTTTACGGTTAACTGAACGATATTCAGTAGATGATTGCCGTATGGTGGCCATACACGTTACGGTCTACCGGAGAAGTATACCTGCGCAGGTCAACCGGAGCGTGTGTGGGAATAGACCTGTGCAGTTTTAACAACCTGTACAGGCGACCGGTGAATGAATTCTTTCGAGTGACACCGTACGGTGTACCTGTGAGTCGAGTGATATCGTATTGTCACGTGTATCAAAAATGGCACCAACAGATTCTACTAAAAAAGTCCTTGAAGATTTTATTGAAATATATAAAATGAATCCATGCCTTTGGCAAGTCAAAAACAAAGAGTACCATGATCGAGACAAAAAAGAAGCTGCTTATAAATTGCTCATAGGAAAACTCAGAGAAAATGAGCCGGATGCGAACAAATCAGTAGTTGTGCCAAAAATTAATAATTTGAGAAGCAATGTCAGAAAGGAAAAGAAGAGATATGAACAATCTGTAAAGTCTGGGGCATCTGCTGATGAAGTGTATCATGTAAAGTTGTGGTACTAAGATTTATTTGATTTCTTACATGATCAATTATGCAACCAAGGGGGCATCTTCATCCAACTTGGATAGTGACGAAGATAGTTGTGAAGTTGGTAAATTTTTTACATAAAAGTTTTTAATTAGCAAATCTACAAAGTATAAAACCAAAATAAAAACTAAATATTTAACTATAAAATATATAATATTTTTAATTTTAATTTTAATTATATATAATATGGTACTGTAAATTGGAAATATGTAATAGGCATACTTGTTAAATATTTAAATATAAGTATTATATACCTATTATAAGTATAATTTATTTAAGTAAATATTTTAATACTTTTTAACTGAAGTATTAAAATACCTATTTGAGATACTTTTGAAAAGTATTTTTAACAAGATTGGTAATAGGAAACAGTAACTTAAAATTAAAATTAATAAATTGCTGATAAAAAGTCCTGTGCTGCAAGTTTCATTTTTATTTTTTTAATTAAGTTGAATAGAACATATTCCTATTCATTCCACTCATTCAATAATAATAATAATAATAATAATAATAAGCATAATTTAAGTAACATAATTATCTTGCCATGGTACTGTTCCCTCTTGATTAAAATAATTCATAAAATTTTCTCGGACAATCTTCGCGGTGTTCAAAGTATTTCCTGGGTTTCTTCTTTTCAAGTTTTCCATTGTACTATTTTGTGGGTATATCCTTCAGAAATTATACTCCCGTTCTCAGAATTTTCTCGATAGAAACATTCTTGAGGTGCATAAGACCTTTTTGAGCGTTCAATTAAAAAGTTACGTAATACACAAGAAGCTTTAACTACTTTATCTATATTTTCGGGTTCTAAATTTATATGAGTATAAAATATCCGAAATCGTGATGCCAAAAGCGTTTTCTACTTCGAGATAATCTGAGTGGATCCTGAAGTTAACTCCCAATACAATTTTAAAATGGCTTTTTTTTTACAAGGCAAAATCTGTTTTCGAGCGTTCTTTAATTATGATAATATTTTTTAAATATTTTAAGTTAACTCCCAATACAATTTTAAAATGACGTACGGTAGACCAGTACGGGCCTGATTACTTATAATTTATTAATTATTATTTTATTATATTTAATTATCATTAAGTAGCAAAAAAATAAAATAAATCCATTAATTCAGTACTCGGATGTATTCCCGAATCCAGTTTTGGGGAGGAAAGCACTTACAATTAAGACGAAAAGACTTAATAAAAAAAAACAAGAATATTTAAAACTAAATGAAAAGTCTAATGTAAGTAAAACTGTTGATTTATTGTATAAAATTAATGCTAAGACAAATATTAACATACATTTTTTTTTGGAGTAGGCAGTAAATGCAATAGCGAGCGCCTTAAATGAACTTTGGAATGATGGATACGTATTTATTGACATTGGGACTGCAAATACAGTAATAAATAAAAACAAAGTTTACGCTAATGTGAAAGGCCATATTGAAACAAATAGTTTTAAAATTCAATCATATATTATATTTCAAAATTTCAATAAAAAATATTCGAGTTGTAAATTAATAAATCAAATATATAATATCATTAAATCTGAAAAATTAGAAAATAATTATACTAAAAATAAAAAAAAAATAATAGACGTATGTACCAAAAATGCACATGTTTTAAATAAAAAAATAAACAATGTATAGTGAGGTACCAAAAAAAAATTGACAACATCATAATGTCAAAACAATTGAGGTCAATCTTCGACTACGAAGAAATTAAGTGAGTAAAAAATATAAACACAAAATAAAACAAAATTGTACATTTCAATTCAATGTATTTGCAGGGATTCTAAATATGGCTTTAACAATACTTTAACCAACTACCCCCCAATCGACTTGAAAATGTCAGACGCTTGGTACCAAAAACTCATTAATCCATCATCGGAATTATTTAAACTAATATTAATACATGAGGTTAATGAGGAGAAGATCCAGTCATATAAATAAAATTGTTCAATTTCCTTTTGGTTCTGTGGTTGATGTCAATTTGTAAGCCTTAATGTTTTTCTTCATACAGTACTTTATTTTATAATGTATATTCATATAAAAAACCTCATATTTCTGTATTATCAGAAATGCTGAAACAGGAATAAAATTAATAACAGACATTATAAATCGGTACCAAATGATATGCAAATTAAATTTATTATATAAATTCAACGAAAGATTTAACAAAAATTTAAAAAATGCTTTTACTCAACATGGTGAATATGTTTATGAAACAATCCTATATGAATTTCAAAAATTATTATATAAAGTTGACAAAAAAATGTATAGTTTTGAATACCATGATCTGCAGTGAGTGTTATTATTATAAAATGTTTGAATAAAATTATATTACATTTAATAAACTGTTCTTTGTTATACAGATTTGAGACCCAAGATGTTATGATGATCGATGTGGGCGATCATCTCGTTAAATATTATATGGACCCCATAATGTGTGAAAAATATTCATTCATGGAGACAGTTGTAATCGGTTTGATACTTAAAAATCAATTCCTAAATGTAAAAATATAAATATATTATAAATACATATAACAAATATTTGTACATAATATATTATTTTTTCAGACCAAACAACTGCATGCCAATTTAATAACATTCTCCACATACTACTCCCTGAACTACAATACAAAATTAAATTTAAAATCCCTAAGAACTACAATAATATCACTAAGAAAAAAAAATATAATAACGTCAACAATGAAACACAATCAATCAGCATTTCACCACCTTATAAACACATCAAACCCCGATATTATTAGATTAAAAAAACCTCTCAATTATTAAACGATATACTTAACATGCAAGAAACTAAAATACAAAAAATCAAAAAAAAATCTTATAAATAAAAGTCCACTTAACATTGAAAAAATGAAAAAAAAAATAAATTACAAACATTATATTCTTAACCAATTTAACATTACAAAATTTTCAAACCCCTTCTTCCGATCTGCCAAATTTTTATAACAATAATATTATCTCTTACAAAAAACAAATAAATTCATTAACTACACATTTAAAAAACAGCAGCTTTCCGCAAAATATAAAAAATAATTCAAAAGGTTTGCTAACACCCCCAACAACACCGGCAAAACAATCCACAAGGCAAACAATACTGATACAAGATACGCCAGAGCGTTTAAAACAAAATGTTAAAACCTTTTATAAAAGCTACCTATATACTTCAGTTAATGTGAAATATATATATTTTTTTTTCCAAATGAGAATGTATAGGGTGGTGGACCTAATTTGATTTTTTTTTCATTTCAGATCAATAAGACCGATGTATTGTACAATTTAAGAATTGTTTCCACATGCACACAATGACTACCATAAATGACCCTATGTCTGAAAAAATCTGTATGTAAATCAAATAGCCTTATGTATTATTATAATATACCTCGATTGGACACTATTTATCTTATGGTGG